ACTAATCTATAGTCAATAGTTCTGACTACAGACTTATCTATATTATACAGGTCTTGACTAAATACTAATCTAAAGTCTTTAGTCTTGACTATAGACTAATCAAGAGTTCATAGTCTTGACTATGGAGTAATCAAGAGTCTATAGTCTTGACTATAGATTAATACAGAGTCTACATTCTTGACTAGAGACTAATCTGTAGTCAATATTCTTGACTATAGACTTATCTATAGTCAATATTCTTGACTATAGACTTATCTATAGTCAATATTCTTAACTATAGACTTATCTATAGTCAATATTCTTGACTATAGACTTATCTATAGTCAATATTCTTGACTATAGACTTATCTATAGTCAATATTCTTGACTATAGACTTATCTATATTCTCTAGTCTTGACTATAAACACTATAGACTAACATATAGTCTTGACTATAGACTAATCTATAGTCTTGACTATAGACTAATCTATAGTCTTGACTATAGACTAATCTATAGTCTTGACTATAGACTAATCTATAGTCTTGACTATAGACTAATCTATAGTCTTGACTATAGACTAATCTATAGTCTTGACTATAGACTAATCTATAGTCTTGACTATAGACCAATCTATAGTCTTGACTATAGACTAATATATAGTGATGACTATAGACTAATCTATAGTCTTGACTATAGACTAATCTATAGTCTTGACTATAAACTAATCTATAGTCTAGACTATAGACTAATCTATAGTCTTGACTATAGACTAATCTATAGTCTTCACTATAGACTAATCTATAGTCTTCACTATAGACTAATCTATAGTCTTCACTATAGACTAATCTATAGTCTTCACTATAGACTAATCTATAGTCTTCACTATAGACTAATCTATAGTCTTGACTATAGAGTATAGTTTAGACTATAGTCTTTTCTATAATTTATACTATAGACTGATCTATTGTCAGACTATAGACTGATCTATTGTCAGACTATAGACTGATCTATCTATAGTCTTGACTATAGATTAGTCTATAGTCTTCACTATAGACTAATCTATAGTCTTCAATATAGAGTAATCTATAGTCTTCACTATCGTCTATAGTCTTGTGACTATAGACTATAGTTTAGACTATAGACTTATCTATAATTTAGACTATAGACTGATCTATTGTCAGACTATAGACTGATTTAAAGTCAGTCTACAGACTGATCTATATTAATTAAACTGATCCAGAGTCTTAAGTTTGGACTAATATATGGACAATCACTTATTCTTGAATTTATTCTATAGTTTAGACATTTGACTTGGACTTGAATACAATCATCAATTGTATTAACTTTAGGCTGAGTTAGGGTATTTACTACAGATTTATTTATATTATTAATTATAGACTGATCGGCTGTCTCGACTATATAAGTACTGATCTACACGCTTAATGATATACTAAGCTTTAATTTTGACTATTGAATTTTTTTAAATCTTGTGTAAAGACTTATCTATAGTTTTTACTATAGACAGACTTATATGCTTGGCTATTGACTTCTAGAGATTTTCTTATATATGTTCTCATTAATAAATTCAAAATTAAGAACTTTTTTTAATATTTTGTATCGCTTTATCATAATTTTGTAAAAAAAAAAAAAAACTAATTTTCAAAATAGATAAATTAAATTATGACTTACCGGTAAATTTTCATTCACAGGAAGATTTTTGATGAAGATATAATATCCAGTAAAGATGATTTCGTTTGTTAAAACTATAAAAATATTTTGAAATTGACAGTTATTGAGGACAAATCTTGATTTTTGTTGAAGTTGTATATAAGAAGTCTTGAAAAATACTAAGCAACAGATCAGAAAATACTTTCTGTAATATAACAGTTTTTTCCAATCTAAACGATGGTTTTTGCTTAAGCTGATCCAACGGTTTACTTTGAAACCTATAAAAGAAAATATTTTTTTTAAATTACCTTTTTTTGTAAAAGAATAGAAAGAAATATGTTTAAATATTGTTTTAATATTTTTTTTTATAAACGCATAAATGTTTATTATTTTTATTATAAATTTAGTTTTGTTTTTTTGTTTTCAGCTCATACAAATATTTAGTTTGTAATTTAATTTAAATCAAATTTTTGTTTTCTTATAATTTTGCATTTACTTATTGTCAAGTCTTCTTAATTAAATAATTTTTTTATTTATTTATTTTTTAAATTAAATTTCATTTTAATTTATTAACTAATGTCTAAGTTCATTTGTTTATATTTTAATAACTACAATATATATGCTTTTTTTATGTATAGCCTATATGTAATACCAGACATATTTTCTAAATTAAAATATTTAATTAATTGCTTTTTGGTATAAATTTTATTTTAACTAATTAAAAAATAAAGTAAAAGTAATTTAAAAAAAATAATTTATATTTCTTTATAAAAAATGTACTAAGTTTTTAATAGAAAAAACTTGCTTAAAGTTTAAATTTAATGAAAACTAATTTATAGGTTAAGTAACACTACTATTGAAAACAAATTATTATAGTTGAAGTTACTAACAAGCTCGTTGGTTTTATTTTGTGAAATGTTTTCTTTCTACAAATTAAAATCACTATATATGATGATAACTACTGAAATAGGTACCTGTGTTGCAGGGAGTCGGAGTTTTAAAGAAATCATTCGAGTATCCAACTGGTGTAAACTGTTCTATAGTCTTAACCGATCTATAATCTTTACAATAATCTTAATATATGTACATATATCACGACTATGTCATTTTAGCTATAAACTATGATATAGACAGATCTTTAAATAGTCTTGACTGATATACAGTCTTGACTATAGCACAACCTATAATCTAAATTAGATTGATCTATATTCTTGAATATAAACTAATCTATGGACGTGATCATAGACTGAACTGTTATAGTCTTTACCATAGACTGATCAATAGTCCTAACTGCAGACTTGACTATAGACTGATCTATAGTCTTGACTATAGACTGATCTATAGTCTTGACTATAGACTGATCTATAGTATTGACTATAGACTGATCTATAGTCTTGACTATAGACTGATCTATAGTCTTGACTATAGACTGATCTATAGTCTTCACTATAGACTGATCTATAGTCTTGACTATAGAATGATCTGTACTCATGACTATAGACTGATCTATAGTCCTGACTATAGACTGATCTATAGTATTGACTATAGACTGATCTATAGCCTTGACTATAGACTCATATATAGTCTTGACTATAGACTGATCTATAGTATTGACTATAGACTGATCTATAGTATTAACTATATTCTGATCTATAGTATTGACGATAGACTAATCTATAGCATTGACTATAGACTGATCTACAGTAGTGACTATAGACTGATCTATAGCCTTGACTATAGACTCATCTATAGTCTTGACTATAGACTGATCTATAGTATTGACTATAGACTGATCTATAGTATTAACTATATTTTGATCTATAGTATTGACGATAGACTAATCTATAGCATTGACTATAGACTGATCTATAGTATTAACTATAGACTCATCTATAGTCTTGACTAATGACTGATCCATAGCCTTGACTACAGACTGATCAATAGTCTTGTCTATAGACTGATCTATAGTCTTGACTATAGACTGTTCTGTAGTCTTGACTATAGACTGATCTATAGTCTTGACTATAGACCGATCTATAGTCTTGACTATAGATTGATCTGTAGTCTTGACTATAGATTGATCTATAGTCTTGACTATAGACTGATCTATAGTCTTCACTATAGACTGATCTATAGTCTTCACTATAGATTGATTTATAGAGTAAAATATAGACTGATCTATTGACTTGACTATAGACCGATCTATAGTCATAACTATAGACTGATTTATAGTGTGAACTATAGACTGATCTATTGTATTGACTATAGACTGATCTATAATCTTGACTATAGACTGATCTATAATCTTGACTATAGACTGATCTATAATCTTGACTATAGACTGATCTATAGTCTTCACTATAGACTGATCTATAGTCTTGACTATAGACTGATCTGTAGTCTTGATTATAGTCCTGACTATAGACCAATCTATAGTCTTGACTATAGATTGATCTATAGTCTTGACTATAGACTGATCTATAGCCTTCACTATAGACTGATCTATAGTCTTCACTATAGATTAATTTATAGAGTAAACTATAGACTGATCTATTGACTTGACTTTAGACCAATCTATAGTCTTGACTATAGACCGATCTATAGTCTTGACTTTAGATTGATCTATAGTCTTGACTATAGACTGATTTATAGTGTGAACTATATACTGATCTATTGACTTAAGACTGATCTATAGTCTTGACTAAAGGCTGATCTATAGGCATAACTATAGTCTAGACTATAGACTGATCTATAGTCTTGACTATAGACTGATCTATTGTCTTGACTATAGACTGATCTATAGTCTTGACTATAGACTGATCTATAGTCTTGACTATAGACTTATCTATATTCTTAACTTTAGACTGATCTATACTCTTGACAAAAGGCTGATCTATAGACAGATCTATAGTCTTGACTATAGAATGATCTGCAGTCTTGACTATAAACTTGTTTATAGACTTATCTATAGTATTGACTATAGACTGATCTGTAGTCTAGACTATATACTGATCAATAGACTTAACAATATATTAATCTATAGTCAAGGCTATACAGAAAGGTTAATCAATATTATCAACTTTAGCCTGAACTGTCTTGACTAAGTACTAGACTGTAGTCTATACATATTGAATATATATTTACTGATAGTCTTGACTATAGACTGATTTCAATTAAACTTGAAACTCTTCCCCAAATACACAAGTACTTCACTATAAAATAAAAACGTTTTGTGATTTTTTTCGCTTTTGCTAACTAAAATTTAAATTTATTAATAAATACATAATTATCAATATTAAACAATTTTTTATATATATATAAATATAAAAAATACAATATTAAATAAATAATAAATAGAAATTTTTTTATAAATATTTAATAAAAAAAAACAAACACAGTTATATAATAATTTCTAATAAAATTTAGAAGATGAAAATACATACTTGTAATAGCTATGAATACGTTATAAAACAATACAAAATACAACTGTGTTTGTTAATTTAATTAATTATAAAATATTATGTTTATATTTTAAACAATAGTTCGTTGATCGTTTCTTAATGATTTAAATATATATATATTTGTTTTTGTTAAATAGATTAATATATAATTTATTTATAGAGCAGTACGTACAAACGATTGTCGCAAATAGTTGTTGTTAAACAAATCGATCGAACAATCCTACCAGTAATATATTACTTCCATAGTCAACATTTCGGTGTATTACTACTGGACGTACTGCCAGTTTCTAAATGTTGCATCAACAATTGTTGCAAATTAACACGCAAAGCAACTTCATCATTGATAATCTGTTTAATCTGTGTCATATCCTGTTGCAATTGTCGTATGGCAGTCCATAATTGACGTAGAGTTGGTGTCATATCCTCATTTTCCAACCCTAAATATAACAATATCGTAATTGTCATCGGTAGTTACATCAATTTAAGCATTTAAACAAAACAATTAATTGTTTAATTGAGTTGATTACAATAATTCGTTGTAGAGAGAGATAGTTACGACGCAGTATCAGAGAGGGGGATAGTGTGTGTGTGAAAATAAAACAAAAAAAAAGAGAGAAATAAAAACACAATGACAAATGTGTTTTGTTATGGAAAAGAAAAGAAAATGTTTAAACAAAATGACCTTTTTGCATAAAAAACGATGATGGCTTTCAGTTTTATGAAGTATTTTGTAGATATGTATACAAATTAAGTTCAATTTAATAAAATATATTATTTTTTTATATATAAATGCATGAAAAAAAACATAGAGGATGCTTAAAAGTAGATTATTTACACGCAAAAATCAATTTTAATAAATTATAAAACAGTTATGGGCAAAATAATAGTTACGTTTTGTGTTCTGGCTTTATACTGATCTATAGTACAGATTATAGACTGTTCTATAGTCTTGACTATAGACTGTTCTATAGTCTTGACTATAGACTGTTCTATAGTCTTGACTATAGACTGTTCTATAGTCTTGACTATAGACTGTTCTATAGTCTTGACTATAGACTGTTCTATAGTCTTGACTATAGACTGTTCTATAGTCTTGACTATAGACTGTTCTATAGTCTTGACTATAGACTGTTCTATAGTCTTGACTATAGACTGTTCTATAGTCTTGACTATAGACTGTTCTATAGTCTTGACTATAGACTGTTCTATAGTCTTGACTATAGACTGTTCTATAGTCTTGACTATAGACTGTTCTATAGTCTTGGCTATAGACTGTTCTATAGACTGATCTATAGTCTTGACTATATACTGATCTATAGTCTTGACTATAGACTGATTTATAGTCTTGACTATAGACTATTCTATAGTCTTGACTATAGACTGATGTATTATTTTGACTGATCCATGTTTTTTATTATATACTGATCTAAAGGCTTGACTATAGACTGATTTATAGTCTTGACTATAGACTTGACTGATCTATAATTTTGACTATAGACTGATCTATGGTTTTGACTATAGACTGATCTATGGTCTTGACTATAAACTGATCTATGATGTTCACTGTAGCCTGATCTATAGTCTTTAATTTTGACTGATCTATAAGCTTGACTATAAACTGATCTACAGTCTTGACTAAAGTCTAACCTTTAGTCTCGATTATAGACTAATCTATAATCTTGACTATTTACTGATCTTTAGTCCTAACTATTGACTGTTCTATAATCTGAACCATAGTTTTGACTATATAGTCTTGACTAGAGACTGACCTACAGTCTTGACTAGAGACTAGAAAATACTTTTTAAAAAAGTTTTTCTCACAAAGTTATCTTTGGAAAATTTCTCTAACATACTTTACATCATAAGGACGTACACGTTCCCCTTTTCCATACCGATTATCCATTATTTTGCCCACAGCTGTTAGAGAATATAAAAGCAAATATGCATCATAAATAATTAAATAAAATATGTAGAATTTTACATAAAAAGAGAGCATAGAGCAAGTAAATAAGAATTATTAATATAAATAAAACGCTTTTTTCATAAAAAAACAAAACAAAAACAAACACTTCATAAATTGCTGCAAAAATTCAAGATAATTAATTAGAAAAAATATAAAAGTAGAACAATATTTAATATAAATACATTAAAATGTGTTTTTTTACGATTTTTAATATAATTTTAATAACATCAATAAAAAACAACAGACTTGTGCCAATTTAGAAAAAAAAAATAATTATAATTAATAAATTTTAAAGAAAAGGAAACAAACAAGACAAGACGACGACAACAGACTGGGTAAATATAATATAATGACAGATGTTTTATTATTATTTTTAAAGCTTCCTTCATATAATTTTTTATTATTATTAAAGAAATTTAATAAAGTAGATAGTTATATTTAAAACATTGAGCAAAAATTGTTGAAGATAATATAGTTAAATAAAAGAAAAGGCAAACAAAATATTTTAGAAGTTTAATATTTATTTGTAGCATTTTTTGATTATATTTCTTTTAGATTTTATTTTATTTTTTTCTGTTTATTAATCTTTGGCAATAGGTTAGTATGTATGTGTTATGGCTAAACAATTTCATTTTAATGTTTATTTATTTTAAATATATTTAAATAGATTGATAGTGATACTTTTCTTTTAAGTTATTGTAGTATTTCTTTTAGATATATGACAACACATAACAACACTGTGATAAATTAACAGTTTTGATTTGTTACTTAACAGTTTCATAACGGTAGACAAAGTGTAAAGTTATTTGAATGTTTTTTTTTTACTTAAATGACAAATTTGTTTATATCTTAACAATTCTTTTCTTTATTTGTTTAAATATGCAGATATTTTGTTATGTAAATTTTGTGCAAAATTAATTCAATCAATAGTATTTTATAATTGTATTAATTTGCAAATAAACAAATGTTTAAACTTTCTTTTTTATCACTGTTATTATCAGTTAACAGTTCTGTTAAAATTAATAGAAACAGTGTAATATGTATTGGGATCAGACCTGGGATAAATGCATTAAATGTGTTAATGCATTAACAATTTTTTCTACATTAAAAAAAATTAATGTTAATGCAAGTTTATTGCATTAACATTAACATGGGTACATTTAATGCATTAAATTTGCATTAACATTAAATATTTTTAAATTTAATGCATTAATTTTACATTAACATTAAATATTTGTGAAATTAATGCATTAATTTTGCATTAACATTAAATATTTTTGAATTTAATGCATTAATTTTCCATTAACATTAAATAATAAATAATAAAATTAATGCATTAATTTTCCATTAACATTAATGTATAAAATAATTTATAAAAATAAGAATACAGCGCTAAAGACCTCGGTCTAACAAAATTCAAGTAAAATTGAATGTGTTAAAGTCCTTTCTAATAAGTCCTATACTCGATAATACATATTAGAAGAATAGTATCACTTCCCAGATATTCCATTTTTAGTTTATTTTGTTAAAGTTCTTTCTAATAAGTCCTATACTCGATAATACATATTAGAAGAATAATATCACTTCCCAGATATTCCTTTTTTAGTTTATTTTGTCTGTGGAATCTTATATAAATATCATATTTAAAACACACAAGTTTGAATGGAATATAGGAGTTATTAGAAAGGACTTTAACCTATTTAATTTTAGTTGTTTAGTTAGATCGAGGTCTTTTGAGCTGTATTTTTATTTATGTTTATCAATTTTTATATATATTAATGTTAATGGAATATTAATGCATTAATTTTATTGCTTATTTAATGTTAATGTAAAATTAATGCACTAAACTCAGATATATTTAATGTTAATGCAAAATTAATGCATTAATTTGAAAAATATTTAATGTTAATGTAAAATTAATGCATTAAATTCAAAAATATTTAATGTTAATGGAAATTTAATGCATTAAATTTTAAAAATTTAATGTTAATGCAATATTTTTTACATTAAATTAATTTTTTTTTAATTTAATGTTAATGCAAAATTAATGGAAATCGCCCAGGTCTGATTGGGATATCAGACCACTTAGGTGAAGCTTAAAGCATGATCTAAACTGCTGCCTTTTAAAAATAGTTATATTTAAATAGATATTGTAGAAAAGACTAGTCTATAGTCTAGTCTAGTCTATAGACTAGTCTATAGTCTAGTCTAGTCTATAGACTAGTCTATAGTCTAGTCTAGTCTAGTCTATAGACTAGTCTATAGTCTAGTCTATAGACTAGTCTATAGTCTAGTCTATAGTCTAGTCTATAGTCTAGTCTATAGTCTAGTCTATAGTCTAGTCTATAGTCTAGTCTATAGTCTAGTCTATAGTCTAGTCTATAGTCTAGTCTATAGTCTAGTCTATAGTCTAGTCTATAGTCTAGTCTATAGTCTAGTCTATAGTCTAGTCTATAGTCTAGTCTATAGTCTAGTCTATAGTCTAGTCTAGTCTATAGTCTAGTCTATAGTCTAGTCTATAGTCTAGTCTATAGTCTAGTCTATAGTCTAGTCTATAGTCTAGTCTATAGTCTAGTCTATAGTCTAGTCTATAGTCTAGTCTATAGTCTAGTCTATAGTCTAGTCTATAGTCTAGTCTATAGTCTAGTCTATAGTCTAGTCTATAGTCTAGTCTATAGTCTAGTCTATAGTCTAGTCTATAGTCTAGTCTATAGTCTAGTCTATAGTCTAGTCTATAGTCTAGTCTATAGTCTAGTCTGTAGTCTAGTCTATAGTCTAGTCTGTAGTCTAGTCTATAGTCTAGTCTATAGTCTAGTCTATAGTCTAGTCTATAGTCTAGTCTATAGTCTAGTCCATAGTCTAGTCCATAGTCTAGTCTATAGTCTAGTCTATAGTCTAGTCTATAGTCTAGTCTATAGTCTAGTCTATAGTCTAGTCTATAGTCTAGTCTATAATCTAGTCTATAGTCTAGTCTTTAGTCTTATCTTTAGTCTAGTCTATAGTCTAGTCTTTAGTCTTGTCTTTAGTCTAGTCTACAGTCTAGTCTTAAGTCTTGTCTTCAGTCTTGTCTATAGTCTAGTCTTTAGTCTAGTCTTTAGTCTTGTCTTTAGTCTAGTCTATAGTCCAGTCTACAGTACAGTCTACTCTACAGTATAGTCTAGTCTATATTCTAGGCTATAGTATAGTCACTTGTCTAGTCTATAGGTCAGTATACGCAGATCATCCTTAATAAAGTCAAGAAATTTATTCTTAGAAGCGTAATAAAACGCTTCGTCCGTCTGAGTGAAAATTTGCTCCTCAATGCCGTCTTAAACCGACAATCAAATTATTCTCTCTCCCAACCTTAGCAGAATACATAGAATGGTTTTGGTCCAACTAATATAAAATATGTATGATCTTCCTAAAATTAGCGATCGTATGAATCCAAAGGGAATCAAGCGCTATTTTTATCAAGTTTTTCTAATAGCATAGCTT